TTTCCCGAAGAAAAATGAAAATCATCCCAAAAGGGCGTGCCATCAAAAAAGCACACCCGTCCGGGAAAATTACAGAAGATGATCTGGGCAAAACCGAGGTCGCTTGATGTCTGGGCGACGTCTCACGCTTTGTCACCCATAGTGAAGGATCCTCAGAGACCCCTTGTCTTTCTCCCAGTTTCGCTGTGTGAAGTATTGCCCTTATACTTTGGGGCTAGCGAAACACAACTCAGAAGCTGCACAAATCAATTTGCGGCGTATCCCCAGCTGCGGGCCGTGGCCCTTCTGCAAGGTGCCCTAAAGGCCCGTGGCCAGCGGACGTTGGGATGGTGCTCAAGCAAAGACCGTCATACGAGGAGGTGTCAAGCCTGTTTTTCAAGAGCTGTGGCTAGCGCACTCGCAAAATCGCGCAAGTCGTAGATTGAATTACTTGAATTGTTCAAGAGCTCCAGCCCTCCCGCGAAGGTAATGAGCGACTTGGACGAAGGCTTTGAGGAGGTCATCAAGCCCCTTTGGACCAAGGATCTGGTGGTCACTGCACCTCGGAAAGCAAAAAATCCGTGCATAGTGTTTCCTGGTCCCAACATTGTTTGTTTGTTTGTTTGTGTTTGGCTGTTTCTGAGTATGTGTTATTTATATGTTGATATGCTTGTTATGTCTGTGGTTTCATTGTTTGTTGTTGGTTGTTTTGTTTGTTTGTTTGTTTGTTTGTTTGTTTGTTTGTTTGTTTGTTTGTTTGTTTGTTTGTTTGTTTGTTTGTTTGTTTGTTTGTTTGTTTGTTTGTTTGTTTGTTTGTTTGTTTGTGTGTGTGTGTGTGTGTGTTTTCGTTTTTTTTTTTTTTTTTTTTTTTTTGTGTTTGTTTGTTTATATGTTTATATGATTGCTGTTTATTTGGTTTGTTAGTTTGCTTGCTTGTTTGCTTGTTTGCTTGTTTGTTTGTTTGTTTGTTTATTTGCTTGTTTGTTTGTTTGTTTGCTTGTCTGTTGTTTTCTTGCTTTCTTTGTTTGTTTGTTTGCTTGTATGTTTATATGCTTGGTTGTTTGTTTGTTTGTTTGTTTTTTTGTTTGTTTGTTTGTTTGGTTGGTTGGTTGGTTGGTTGGTTGTTTTGTCTTGCTTGTTTGTTTGTTTGTTTGTGTGTGTGTTTGTATGTTTGTTTGTTTGTGTGTTTTTTGCTGTTTGTGTCTTTGTTTGTTTGTTTGTTTGTTTGTTTGTTGGCTTGCTTTGGCCCCATCATTTTGCCATGATCAAAGTCGCCCCTTTATGTGACTCTGATAGGTTAAAGGGAAACAACCCCATTCTGACATTGAGACCCAGAAACAGAATGACCAGACTGACCCCACGATACCCCACGTGCCTCTGTGCCTCTGGGGTGTGTGTTGGACGCTTTGGAGCTCAGGGGCTGGAAGTGTGGGACGCCGACAGCCGGCAGCTGCGGACGGACCCCGCCTTGCAGAAGAAGATGGCGGACTGGATCTTGGAAGCGACCCCTGGCAGGCAGACACAACTTGTCTAGGTCCCCCAGCAATTGGTGCAACCTTTCTCACCCATTTCTTTTTTGGTTGGGAGGGGTCCCCTACTAAAATAGACTACAGCAAAAAGGGCAACCTTATTCTAACCTCTCAAATCTGGAGGACCTAGTTGTTGCCCTCGAAGAAGCATGGGCCGTGTCTGACTCATGGTATCCTTTGGGGGGGGTGCTTGAGGAGGATGTCAGGGCATCCTGGTTGTTTTAATCATTGCCCCATATGTTGTGTGTGTTTCTGTTTAGCTCGTTGTCCGTATTTTGTTGAATTAGGCTCACATCTGCGAACGTCTAACACTTCTTCCGTGGCGCACCGTCGGACCGTGTCTTTCGAGTATCCTCTTTGCCTTCGTGGGTATCCCTGATTTCAGGTTTTGGAATGATTAAGAGGAAGACCTGAAAAATGAGTTTCACAGTTTCCATGGAGATCCAAACTCATGGAAATCCAATCAATCAATCATGGACATCCATGGAAATCCAAAATCATGGATGGTGACAACTTCTCCACTCCTGGATTCCAAGGTTTGGAATTTTCGACTGACAACCTGCACTTCGCACCCATGGCTCCCATGATGGTTTTAGCTTCGGGTCGAATCGGGTACGCTGACGAAACGTTGCACCGTTCAGAAATCCCAGCGGTTTCTGATATTCGATTCCCCCAAGAAGAATACCAAGGAACCGTGGTTTCAAGGTTGCAAAGTGGTGCGAAATGGATTTCGTCCATCCTATGGGTTTGGTTTTTTTGTTTTTTTATTTTTTCCACCGAGGAAGCTACAGCAGGTCATGAGTCAGCGCCGGGACGAGCTGCTTCAGGAGATCCAGCAGCGCCAGATCAGCCGACCCCCCGACCCCCTGGACATCGAGGAGGCGACCTCCAAGTCGCATTTCAAGCAGAAGTTGCCCCAAGGATATGACTCCAGGACTTACATTTCAAAATGTGGGTTTCTGAAAAGCTCGGAAACAGTCACATGAAACAACAGGTTTGTTTTGTTTGAGCTTTTCAACACCATTTAGAGCACACGTTTTATTGGCTTTTCGGGGGAGTTCTGGGAAGACGGTCTGTTTCAAGATAGGCTGGAGCATTGGGAAGACGGCCTGGCCGCTACATGCCCAGCGTTTATAAGGGAACCGTGGGAAGATTACTTTGGTTTCCTTTTCTCACTTGCCGATAGCAATTGGACCTTTTGACCTTTCAGTTTCCGCTGATCGCCCTTTAGTTTTGGGTCCGAACTGGGCAACTGAGAAAGTTGTCCGTTAGAACATCACGTCAAGCTTGTGAGTTTTTGCCCGCTACAAGGTTGGGAGATAACCATGGAGCCGACCAAAGGCCAATGGGTTTCAGATTTACAACACGCATTTTCAAAGAACCACTAAAAGAAGCTTAGGAGAAGGACCCCCTGACAGGAACTCCTTCCCTTTCTGCTTTCTCGTCATTCTCAAATGGTGGTTTCAAATTCTGGGTATGTTGCTGTGTTGGTGATGTTGAGACTGGTTGGCGCCCATGCGACACAGTGGCAGCCCCCAACTAAACGTAGCGTGGATGTCCAGTCGCCTATGAATTTCAATGAGACACACCCTCAGAGAATGCCAGTATTTAGACCCCCATTTCTTTGGGTCTTGGATGAGCAGCCCACTTCACGACTGAGTAGGTTACAACCATGGACACATGTTGGACCCAACGCCGTGTTTCCTATTTACGATAGGTATAGCGTACTTTTAAGTGGGTTGAACACCCAAGAAGCAGGCCATCAGCCATTGATGGCCATGAACTTCGTTTGGCTCCTTGAGAGTCTAAATAGGCATACTAGAAGGGGCAGGGAACTTAGTAAGTGGTTATATAGTAAGTCTGGTTATACCCCACTTACCAGGGTTATAAGTCTCCATTCAGTGGGTTATAACCAGGCTTACTAGCCACTTACCTGACGCACCCTGCCCCTAGTAGTTCTTGAGGTTCGTTGCCCTTTCGGGGTTGAGGGACCAACAGAGAGGCAGCTTCAGCTTGGCTGTGGGTTCCTGCCTCGAGGCGGATGACGCAGAGTGGCGCACCTCCGCAGCCTTCAAGTACCTCTGGGAGGACTTAGGGTCCAGCTCTATGTGCTTCCATTTGCTTGAGAAAATTTTCAATTTGCTTCCGTTTGCTTCCATTTGCTTCCGTTTGCTTCCATTTGCTTCCATTGCTTCCATTTGCTTCCATTTGCTTCCATTGCTTCCATTTGCTTCCATTATTATCATTATGATTTTGTCCCGTTTGTTTTAAAGGGAATCTATCACTTGTTTTTTCTTCTTTTTTTCCTGGTTGTTTTAAAGGGAACCTATCACTACTGGAAATATGTCTCTTCTTTTTTCAGGGGTCTTACCCAAATGGAAGGTTGGCTGTGGCTCCAAGAAACGGAATCCCGGAAATGGCACCGTGGCAAATGGAGCCAAAGACCACCTGCGGTGTGCCCGAGCCATCGAATTTTGAGCCACGCCCATTTTCTACTTTTGGCTTTTGTAGGGATGGAGTCATACCTGTTTGTAGTTTTTTGATGTGGGGTTTTGTGTTGCGGAAAAGGCCCTTGTTGGGTTGATGCGTAAGGAAAGCGGACAGAGAACCAACCGATTTGGGGTTCTCCTTTGTGTCGGAAATGCACATGGAATGCAAATACCTTTGAAGCACCAGGCTGCCGATATACCCAGCCTCACCTTTCGGAGTTGCAATAGATGTACTAAAACAACCCTGGCGTCTTCCTGATTTTGCGGGCCCGCCTTCCCGTCTTGATTGGTTGCTGTAAAGGGAAGCCAAGAATTTGATCCCCAATGTTTTTTGGTGCGGCTTGGAGCTTCTTTTTAAGTGTGCCTTTTGTTCAACCCAAATTGGTTTTGCGGCTTCAATCAAGTAATATACACATACATTTACGAAACAAAACAAACACATTTATCAAGTAACACACAAACACACACAAACACACACCCACGCATAGAAAAAAAACAAGAAACACAACAACACAAGAAGCCGAGACCAACAACATCACAATACACCTAGTGGGCTTGGTGAATTCAGCCCCACCGGGGGGGGGGGGGGGGCACCTCCGGGCCCGGGCCTTCGTCTTGCGAGGACCTCGCGGAGTCCTCCAGCGACCCGGAGGCCTTCTCTGAGGCTCCGATCGTCTGAGGGATCCGTCGCGGGATCGGAGCTGAAGCAGTGGCTCAATTGGCTGATCAGCGATTTTAAGAGGTGAACATCAGCAAATAACATGTTTGCTTAGGGCCTTGCAAGACTGAGCTTGGATTGGCCCATCTAGCGAGGTTGGTTGGTTGGTTTTTGCGAGCTCCTCCAGTCGAATCCTCGTTCAGGTCCAATTGCACTTCCCAGGGAGGTGCACCCCGTGGAGCCTCATTTTGTGGGGAAAACCGACTTTGGGTCTGTGGGAGGATGTTGATCCCCAAACCTTTGGTGCATTTTGCTTGGATGTTAGGACTTTAACTTGTTGCCAAC